TGTTTTGATGTATATTCTTCCATAGCTTCCATAGCCACCTGAGCTTGCATGGTGGAAAAATATGTGACCTTATATGTCTGAAAATATTTACCTTACTCTCACACTTAACTAATAGTTTGGCTGGAATAGGACTTTAGGTTGTAAACAATTTTTTTAAGCAGAATTTTAAAGGCATTGCTGCACTCTCTTTGTTTCTAGTGATGCTATGGGTCCAATGCTGTTGTAATTTCTAATCCTTCGTACATGGTTTCTTCTCTCTCTGGATTGTGTCTGTCCAAAATGTTCTGAGATCTCATGATGATGGGGCCTGGCGTGGGTCTTTTTAAAAGTAATTACTCTGGGGGCGCCTGGGTGGCTCAGTCGGTTAAGCGTCCGACTTCAGCTCAGGTCACGATCTCATGGTCCGTGAGTTCCAGCCCCGCGTCGGGCTCTGTGCTGATGGCTCAGAGCCTGGAGCCTGCTTCGGAGTCTGTGTCTCCCTCTCTCTGCCCCTCCCCCGTTCATGCTCTGTCTCTCTCTGTCTCAAAAATAAATAAACGTTAAAAAATTTTTTTAAAATAAAATCACTATAAAAAAAATAAATTAAAAAAAAATTAATTACTCTGGACATTCAGATCTTTTGATCTGGAAACTAGGTCCTTAGTCTTGGAAACTTTTCTTACAGTCTCTTGCTGGTATTTTCAACCTTCTGTTTTCTCTTTCTGGAACTTCTGTTAATCAGATGTTGAATATCCCAGACCAATCCCTTAATTTTCTTAACTTTTCCATTTTTTCTTCCTTTTTTCCACTTTTAGGGAGATTTTCTCAACTTTATCTTGCAACTCTTCTGTTGAAATTATTCCCCTCATATTTTTAATCTTTCAAGAGTTTTTCCTTGTCTCTGGATATTGTTATAGCCTCTTGAACTCACAACCCTGGTATGTGTGTGTAAGGCTGTATAGGTCAGTGTTTTTCCACTCTAGGTGCATGTCAAAAAACCTGGGAAGCTTTTACAAACTAATGATGTTCAGGGATTATGCTTTAATTGATCCAAAGATGGATCCCAAACACAATTTTGTTTTGTTTTTTTTTTAACTGTTGTCTCATCTCCACTAGACATAAGCTGTTACTATTGCTTTACGTCTAGACGGGCCTGGCGCATAGTAGGCACCACTAAATAACTGCTGAATGAATGAACAAAGCACTGCTTTGTAAAGGAAGATTGTAAAATAAGAACAAATTCCAGGCAATATGCTACTTTGTCTATAATGTTTTCTCTAAATATATTTGAAAACCTAATAATACATGAAAACCAAACAAGTCTTGTAGGACAAAAAAAGTATTTGAAATCCAGAGGTTTTAAAAAATCATGAAATTCCTATTTCTTCTTGCCTTTTAGACAAGTTTTTAATAACATATTTCTTGTGAACTAGGAAGTTAAAGTCTAATAATTTTCATCTGTTTCTGCTGAAGCCCCAAGGCAATAGTGGCCTATGCTGAGGAGAGGAGCAGGACCAGTGCAGGACTGCAAAACAAGGGGCCCCAAAGTGAGTCCAGACTTCTGCCTGTAAAAGAGGTGGAAGCTTCTGTTTCACCTTGAGTCGACAGACGGAAAGTGTGTAGAGGGGACCCTGAGAACCAGAGGCCAAAAGCACAGTTATGAGGGGCCAGCCAGGGAGAGCGCATCGTCCAAAGTTAAGGGAGTGGCAGGTAGGACAAGACAGGTCTTGAAAACTCACGACAGATGAGCCAGAAGGACGAATTTCAGCTTTAAACACAAGCCAGGCTTAGAGAGCCAGAACTCGTTCACAACAGTCCTGGTAAAGTACACACTTTCCATCTCATTCTCCTTATGGCAACATGGGGCCAAAGAGGGGACAGCACCAAGTGGGGAAACAGGGTCAAGCACCTGGTAGGTGAGGGGCAATCTCCATCTCCATATTCGGTTCAAAATTTTGTCGTCACACCAGACTGGGCACATCATCTCCAGTGGGCCTTCAAGGCCCTGGGAATGAGGAGAGAAGCCTCGAGACTTGCCTGACATCCCATCCAGGGGCAAGGGAAGCACGAGCCCCAGAGAATCAATGTAAAGACAGTGGGCGACCATAATAAAATTGCCTTTTGATCCAACTGAGCTTGTTTAACACAACAGTTGAACAAACTAGCACTTTGTGTTTGGTGTTACTTTCCTTCTCAGTTGAATATGATTGATCAGTTTAAGTTCATGGACACTGGATTGTAGCTCTACTGATTTGACATGTTTGGCAACTTCATGATTTCTACCTGCCATAATGATTGACTTTAGGAGATCTGCATTTCTCTTTCACCCCCTGGTAATTCACCAGAAGCTGAATTTGGTGTGGAAAGATGGTTTGGGATTCTCAGTGAAAAAATGTACAAAAGTAGTTGGTTTGAGTCCAACATACGTTAACAGGAGAAAGCCTGTAATTCCTGCAGTGCTTTAAAAACACATTTTTAGAGAAAGGCAATACCGGCTCACAGAGGAACATCAGAATTTCCAGGCACAGTGGCAAGTGCTGAGGTGCATGGTTGAATGATGGATGGAGCTGCACCTTGGAGCGTGAAGATCATACCTGAAGGAGTCTGAACAGGGGTTGCCTCTGGGGAGTAGGGGTGGAGACTGGCTGGGAAGCAGGACAGCATTCAGGGTGAGGTGATCTTGAATAGGGGGCTCAGCTGGCTGGTGCAAGCCCTTGTCATATGCCATTTACTGTAAGTAAATCTTACCCGCCCTCCAGAAAAGGTAAACTGGTTACTGGCACACATGTTGAAGTGTTTAGGAGTGTGCACTGTCTGCCGCTGTCCTTTGAAATGCATCAAAAAACAAGATGGATAAAGGAATGGGTAGTTATAATAGAAATGTAGCAGAATGTTAATTGTAGAATTAAATGGAGGTATATAATTACTTCAACTTCTCTGTATCTTTGAAAATCATAATGCTAGCAGTGGGCACATCCATATATTATACTGGCAAATGTACTTCTGAAACCCAGAAGTGATGTTCTTCCCTTCACACCCAGGGTAGTTGTCAGTTTCCAACCTTAGTAGGTATTATATTCCCATACATTTGCTACTTTAAGTACAGAAACTCCAGGCTATTTACATATGTTCTATCATCATTTAAACTTAAAAATTTTTTTCTTAAGTTTATTTATTTAGCATGGGTGGGGGAGGGGGAGGGAGAGAGGGAGAGAGAATCCCAAGTAGGCTCCATACCATCAGTGCAGAGCCTGACGAGGGGCTCAAAACCATGAACCATGAGATCATGACCTGAGCTGAAACCGAGTCAGATGCTTAACCGACTGAGCCACCCAGGTGCCCCCACCATCATTTAAATTTTTAATTAAAAATCAGAGTTTTTACATCTTAAGATGAGTTCAGGGAGTTCTACACATTGTTATCACAAACTGGAGTGCATCCAATGCAGGCTTCCCATGTGTAAAGAAATCCCATTGCCGAGGGGACTCAGAGGCAGATGTTCATGAGTCATCTTGTTTTCCCTAAAGCCAGACTGAGCCTAAACCTTCCTTAGGATCTTGGGGGATCCTTTAAGGCAAACAAGAGGGTGTGTGAGAAGGACTAAGGGAAGAAAGGAGGGGGAGGTCTTCAAGACCTGCTCTGGAGCCAGACCACCTCCTTCCCCAGGGACAGGGCCCCTTCCCTCTTCTAGAAATCAGACTGTACCACCGGATAATCTAAGTTGACCAGACCGTCTTCCTCATTATCCTTTTTGGAGAAACTCAAGCCAGGACACAGGAAACTTAGACTTAGATTCCAGCCTAAAAAAGCCTGAGAACAAAGGAAGATAGATACCAGTGACTATACCTCACTTTCTTTAAATCAATCAATACTGATCCAAGGTCATTTTGCTCTGGTCCTATAATCACCCTCTCCTCAGGTGTTCTTCCTGAGTCCACAGGGACAGGGCAAACATGCTGTGGTTTCCTAGAAAATCAGTTTTCCTTGGAGATTTGGGGAAAACTATCTGAAAGGATTACTGCCATATTAAGACAAATATGGATATATTATGGAGTGGAAAATCCCTATCATCTTTCACTAAAAAGGGAGTGTTTGAAGAAATTTTGCTGAACCCTTATGAACTACACCCCTGGGCTCCCAAGGGTACATCTTTTACTCCCCTGACACCATTAAGGAAACTTCACTGGAAAATTCAGAGAGATATTTCTGCTAGATGGAAGACAAAGGTTACTTTTGGCGAATGAAGGACAATGAAGGGGGATTTCAAAGTTTATACTACACAGTTATCAATCTTTTCCCTCTTGTTTCCAAGGTAACAAAAAAGACAAAAAGAAAAACCTAATAAAAAATAAATACATGTGGTTTCTGAGGGGAAAAATCCCAGAGTGCTACCGGATGATGGGGCCCAGAGCCTCACAGAGTAGCAGGCATGTTCTGGGACCCACACACGAGTCTGAGGGAAGGCACACATTTACCCAGGATGTGGTCACTCAGGTAAACAGGACCAGTGGGGATTTCTCGGAAGAAGGTGCAGAAAAAACAGTTTCTGGAGTCTGAGACTCTGTCACAGTTGTGAGACCTAAGGCAAGTCATTCTCTAGACCCCAATTTCCTCATCTTTAATATGGCTTTCACACTGTCTGTAGCGTTTTGTGAGGATGATATAAGCCAAGGTATGTAACATACCTGGTGCATTCTGGGTACTCAACAAATATCACTCCTTTCCTATCCCCAGTGTAGTAGAAAAAAATAACCTTTTAAAACATTGGTGGCAGTGGGAAATGTTGAGAGGGATGGCTAGGGACAAGAGGCCCAGAAACCAGGGTACCAGTTATAAACAAGACTCAGTTCAGCATGTGTGGCCACAGGTGCAGTAAGGAGCAGGTCTCTCTGAACCATGGGCACAATCTGCCATCTCGGCCAGAGGCAGCACTGGGGCTCAGCAATTAGACCACGTGATTACACAGGAAGAGAGAGGCAGAGAGGCCTTTTCAACCTAGTGTTTAAAGACACACAGCAGGGTAAGCATTTCAGTTATTTTTAGTTAAAGAAAAACAGCCTTTTCCAAGGGTGACAAAGTGAGCTGAAGGTCAGAAGGAAGCAGGGTGTGGACTACTCAAAGCTCTTGCTCCAAAATCTGGAGATGAGGAAAGAAGGCCCACCCAAGAACTCAAGGGTGACTGGCCAGCAGAGGGACGACTTTGATGACTTTGGTCACTGGACTGGTCTAAGTAGGCTCAAAGGTGATTTCCACCTGCCAGTTGGTTGACATGCTTAACATTATTATTCTTGGGGGCTATTAAATTAAGGAATGATGCACGGAGCCAAGAGAGTGGCTTATTCAGTTGGATTCTGAATCACAATCAGGAAATAGTCTTTATCTGCAAAAGAGAAAAATGAAAAAATAAATCACTAAATGTAAAATGGGAGAAAACACACTAGAAAGGAAATCATCCAATCACCAACCATAAAAGGGGAGGGGAACAATAAAAAGCATCAATGCTCAGGCTACTTCCAACTTCTGGGGAAACAGAAGATGAACTTGCAAGTTTCCCTGAGGGTAGGGGTAGGGTTCCGGTAGGTGTGGCTGCTGGAGAGCAAGCCCCTCCTCCTACCTGGCCTTGCAATGTATTCTCTTTTCTAATCTTCACAGTACTGACAGGGAGGTAGGATTATCACCTCTGTTTTCTGGGTAGGAGAACTCAGGTTCAAAGACTTTAAATGAATTGCTTATGGCAGTGGTTCTCAAAAGAAAGGGCATCTGAATCACCGGCAGGGCTGGGCCCCATCCCTAGCCCTTTGGATTAGTAGATCTGGAGTGGAGCCCAAGAATTTGCATTTTTAATTAGGTTTTTAATTTTAATTAGGTTTTTAATTTTAATTACAGGATGGTTAAAATAATTTGCATTTTTAACAAGTTCCCAGGTGATGCTGATGCCGCAAGTTCTGGGACAACCACTGGTTTAGGAATACCCAGCTAGTTAGTGTCAAAAATGGAATTCCAAACTCAACCCTACTGGTTTTGGGTTAATGTCAGTTCTATCACAAGCTCAGCTGCTGGCCTTCAAGAGTCTTCTGGATGAGGAAAATTTCAAGGGCACCAGGTCAAATGGAGCCAAAGGTATCTCAATTCTAGTTCTGGGGATCCAGCCCGGCAAGGAAGAATGTCCACATGAAATCACAGTTAGTCCAAGCTCTCAGGGGTGAGCCTGACTGCTCTTCATATCATAGAAACAAAAATTGGAGAAGCAGGGTGTTTCAACATTGCCCACTTAACCAAACCACAAACATTTACTAAGGCTTCCATGTGTCTAGCCCCGGGCCAACCCCTTCTCATATGGTACCTCAGTAAATCACTCTGTGAGACAGATACTAGTGTTTTCCATTTCATTGAGGCTCAGAGAGTGAAATGACTTGCCCAAGCCAAGGCAAAAATGCAGAGCTGGGTAGCTAGGTAGCTAGCTGGGTTTGACCCAGATAACACTGAACGCTTCTGATCTGCCCTCTGCTGAACAAGGGAGAAATGGCAGGACCTTGGCCTTGTTTGCTTTGTGTGTGCTGATTCAAGCCTAAAGTTTGCTTCTTCCCATGACAACAGACTGTTGCAGATAGGAGGCAACAGATTTTACAAGATTAATAATAATTTCATGGCTAAGTAATCTGTATAAGTTAAATCACTTAAAAATATAAACAGAAATAATTAACAAGTCACCAAGAGAAAGAGACACAATTAACAATACTACAGTCTTTTTTCCAAATAATCAAACTCTAAATTCAATACTATCACTATAAGAGCTTTGTGGGAAGCAGAGTGTTAAAGCTTGATTATGCTGCATTAACTTGGCTTTATATTAGTTAGGTTAATAAATGAAAACCAAAGTCTGTTTTTTTAGTCTTTTCACATGGGCTATTCTTGGCCAGGATGGGATGAAATTTGGTACACATATGGAGGGCCAGACGGTCTGAAACTATCTTTGCTATTTGTGGTCTGGGAGGCAGCTTCTCAGTCTGATCAACGAGAAAGATGAGGTGGAAGAAGGGGACAGTGGACTTCCTTCCTGGGCAGCGCTCCTCCAAGTTGTTCCCAAGGTGTGGGGTGGGGTGCTAATTACAGTCTCAGAAGGACCCACCTCAAACATGCGGCAACTAGGCCTGTTCTAGGCTGGGGGCTGTCCCTGTGGGGCTTGTGCTCTGCGGAAATCCTAACGCATTCTGGCTCTAATGCTTTAGAGGCTCCTGCCCTGCCCTCCCCGCCCCCTCTCCCCACCACGTATTTTTGCCATATCAAAGTGGGTGTGTCAAGGTATCAAATCATTGGTTTTCATCCTAAATACCATGTCCCACAGACATTCCTGACCCTCATCCCCCACTGGTGACCCCACCTCTTACTCCCACAGTGGGGTGTCAACAATGGAGGGAGATCTAGGGAGTCATTCGTATATTTATTAATCAATTATGTGTTAAATGTATACTATGTGCTTACAAATCTCTGTTCTCTTGGAACTGTGTAGGCGGGGAGACAGACTTAAAATACAGATAAGCAGGCTGGTTGGCTAAATGAAAAGGCAAGATGGAGCACTGGTAGCAGCAGGATGGCTGGAGAAGTGGTGAGGGTGTTCAGAAGGAACTTTCACTGTGTTTAAGGCAAGCTCAAGAAGTCACACACCTCTCCAGTATAAAGGAATGTGAGGCACTGTCAGAGTGTGAGTGTCAGACAGAGTGAGCGAGCGAGCGAGAGTGAGAGGGTGTGCACATCTTCCCTGCAGGCCTCTGTGTGTTGCTTAGGAAGGGTCCAGCCACTCCATCCTCACCTCCACTGACAGGGCTGAGAGGCTTCTGGGCCTGTGAACCCCAAGAAGAACCTCTAACGTGGGAGTTGCCAATCCTGGACTCAAGTAGCAACTACACCCGTTAACTCTGAATGCCTTTGGGTCCTTAAGGGCAAGTTGAAGATGCCTTTGCAGCCAAGCTGAGAATGGACAGTCAGGAGCTTCCAGATGACTCTGTGGGTCCAGAGAAGACATTCTCAGAAGCTTTAAGTCAAGAGAAATTGTCCATGGAGAATCTAATTTGGAAACCACATCATTTGTCTTTGCCTCACAATGTGTGCCCTCACGTGGGCACAAAGTCTACTCTGACACACAGGGTCAACAGAGACCATTCCTAGCCTAACTTTTAGGGATGTGGAGGTTTGTGTAGCCATACAACATGAAATCTTGGGACGGATCTGAGTTCAAATATTTCTGAGCCTTTCTGCCTCACCCAAAGCCGACCCCTCAATCAATGGGGTGTCTCAGGGGACGAGAGCAGTATAATACTCTACTTGATGCTTTACAGATGTGAAAATCGGGGTTCAGACTTTGGTTGATGTAAAGTCACACTCAAGGGGAAATAGCTTCTGTCTGCTGCAATCTGGTTTTCCTCACAGAACCAGAGCATCATAATAGGTTGGCAAGTGATGCATTAGACACTGATTAAACTGATACACAGTGTATGGCATGTTTTTGGAATAAATGCCACTGAAGTGATCTTATGTTCTCTGTTATCAACCAGCTCTGTCCCCACCCCTCTAGGGAGTGTCCCAGGGAGACTGTGGGCCCCTGTGACTCGGCCAATGGTTCTCTCCTTTGTATCCTTTCAAGTAGCAGAACTGGGCCAGAACAGGCTTGGGAACAGAACCAACATTGCTCTGCTACTTGGGTGGCTGACCCCACATCAAGTTACTCCAGAATTCTGCAGCCAGCCTCCCTGCCACTTGTGTTGCCAAGCCAAGCCCAAGGACCTTCAGCATCCCTAGCCTCCCTATTTCCCTCCTTCATCTAGAACCCGGTCACAATCATACCACCTTCTTGCCTTTAGAACTCTCACAGGGTCAAGTCCACACAGCTGAGTTTGGTGTTTGACACCTCTTGACCAAATGTCCTACCTCTCTTTCTTCATACACATATACTGATGGCCTGGATGAGCTATACAAGCATCATCGCGTGCACACCTAACTCCTGCACACTCACAACTATGTGGCTCACCCAAAAAAGACAGAGGGAGGGAGAGAAGAAACAATATAAAAATAGTCCTGGAAAATCAATCTGTCTACCACCCCAGTCTGTAAATGTGAGTGAGGTGATGTAGGCCGGGACAGGCGGCCCTGATATTCCCTCCTGCGGTCCCAGTCCTTGTGGGCTTCTCCCAGGAGCATCTCATCATGTGCAAATGATCCTCAAGGCACAGGTACTGTTTGTACGCACAGCTCCTAAATGCAGACCAAGCACTGCATGAGAAACAAAAGCAGCAATCTGTTCCAATGCTGGAGGAAAAGCTGACCATACGGGGCCCAGAAAGACAGAACTGAGGGATGGGCTGACTTTATTTAATGTTTATTTTTGAGAAAGCGCGAGCAAGAGAGGGGGAGGGGCAGAAAGAGAGGGAGACAGAGGATCCAAAGCAGGCTCTGTGCTGACAGCAGGGAGCACGATGCAGGGCTTGAACTCATGAACCGTGAGATCATGACCTGAGCCAAAGTCGATGCTTAACCTACTGAGCCACCCTGGCATCCTAGGACTATACTTTAGAAGTGGGCAATTTAACTTTTTTTCAAGGATAAAATGACTGTACGTATTTTTACCTTATGCTTTGAATTTTAAATCACTAAATTCTTTTTCCTTCAAACACAGCTTTCCCACCCCTCCAACTTGCTTACACTCTTTCTTGTGCCTTCTAGATTTAGCTCGAATGTTCCCTCTTCTGGGAAGACCTAATCATACCTTCCTCTATGTTTCATGAGATCACGATTCCTCTCTGTGTCCTAGAATCTAGTACAGGGTCTGGTCTAGAGTAACAGTGAATAAGTATTTGTTGGGGATGCCAACCAGAGACTGGCCAGGCAGTGAGGCATATTACCTCTGAACCTTCAACTCTTCAGTCCTTTCCATGGCACCTGTGGAGACAGCAATGTGCCAAGCCTTCCTGATAAGCGGCACAGAATATGCTGTGACAGTCTGCTCCCAAGTGGGAATACGGAAGACCTCTTACCTGGTGCAACCATAATTTCATTTTTCTTGGAGCGAATTCGAAGAAAGGTGAGGTCATTCTGGGGGTCGATTTCACGCACGGTGCTCCGGGCCTTCAAGATGAAGTTATGCATGAGGTTGGCATACTGTGTGGTGGTGGGATTGTCCATGGTGCTCTTGATGGGAATGCCTGAGGGAGAGCAGAGACTGAACAGGATGTTGAAGCCCTTTTCTGCCCAGCTCCCAACACTGCACCCTTAATTCAAGAGTACTGGACTGACAGTTAACAATCAATGCCAGTATTTACTGAGGGCTTGACAGGCACAGTGCTGAGCACTTTAACTATGGCAGTGCCAGTCCCCAGAACTACTACTGGAAGAACACCATCTTCACTCGCCAATGAAGCAACAGAAGCTCTGAGCGGTCACACAGCAGATAAGCAGTGGGGCTAGGATTCAAATGTAGGCCTGTGGGCTCTGCTGCTGGGTTCCTCTTTTCTTGGCACTGTCTTGACTGGCTTCTAGCAATAAAAGGAGAGACTATCATTCAGAACATTTAGAACCTGAACAAGGAGGGCAGCTCTTACAAATTGGTAAATATTGAAAAGTAGGAAGAAGAAAAAGGTCAGCTTGTGCCAAGACATTACCATCTCTAGTGTTTTGATCCAGTTCCCACCAATGGAGGCTTTGGGCCCAGTTGTAAACACATTGTCTATACACATGATTGTGCCCCTCAAATTTAAGCCTGTTTCTCTGTCTGCATATATACTTGTAAACAGCATTGCTATTGCTTTCAAAGAGCCCACAAATGGACCTTCCACAGAGTTAATCATTCCTCTATTGTTGGTACACAGGCTGGATTTTTTTACTTAATTACTAAGCAGCGAACACCATTGTGTACGAAGCCTTTTCTGTTTTGAGGATTGTTTTCTTGCAATGAACTATTAAATGGACCTCTTTTACTAGACAGTGCCTATTGTCATGGAGGTGAAGAATCGGGCTCAGCCTGAGCCACCTCAGGACACAACTAAATCATCAGGTATCTATGAATCACCGTGACATATTAGCAGGTTCCAATGAGGAGGCCTTAAGTGCCCACAGCTGACAGGCACTTGTGGGGAATATGGCACAAGTGGCTCCTCACATGTAAGTGGCTAGATTTGGGGGCTGACAACCCTGCTGATCTGGCCCACAAGTGACCAGCTTAAAGACTGGCCAAAGGCAATCACCCTCAGGCCTTCTCACAGGTGGCAAGAAACTGGTCCAATCTTTTCTTCTTAGGGAGCAGGAACATGAGATTGGGCAGAAGAGGACATAGTGGCAAGAGAGGCAGCTGAGTCAGAGAGACTGCTTTGAGCGAAGTGAAGTCATGAAGACAGACCATAGTGATCACTTGCCTTTAAGGGACGAGAGGGTGCTTGCTTCGGCAGCACATATGCTAAGGGACAAGAGGACTAGATCACTAGCGCTGCTACTGGATCCTGGATGACAACAATGTGCCCACCAGGGCACCTGGAGACCTCACTTCATAGCGGACTGTCCCGAGGATGTCCTATGAGCAGCTACGGTGATGACTGAGTAGAAACTCTGACCTGGACAAATACCCTGGGCTCTGTCTCTTCATAGCTATGTGGCCTCAGACATGTGACTTAACCTAAAACTCTATTTCTTCATCTGTAAAATGATACTTGTGCTGTGAGGATTAAATATGGCTAATTCATTTAAGAATATTTAGGAAAGAGAGTACAAATGTAATAAATGTTGATTTGTTATCAACATCACCACACAATAAATCCCATCCCCACCCAGGGTACTTGAAGGGCCAGTATCAAGGCCTGGCAAAGTCTGCATGATCAAACCTCTTATCCTTCTCTTCTTATATACCACAAGGCCACCTTCTTTCAGGTTTCTCTGCCTGGAACTTTCCTTCCTTCCTCATTCTTTTGTGATTCCCACTGATTCCTCAGGTTTCCATTTTCTGGTGTATCTACAGATGTGGCCAATGCCCCTATTTTACCATCCCACATGATTTTCCGTTGGAGCATTTTCTTTGGAGTTTGACACCTCACCATTATGGAAGTGATCATTATGACTATAAACTTCCTGGGGGTCAGGACCAGGTCTGCTACACTCACCATTGTCCTTAAAGAGACTCCATTAAGCATTTATTGCTGGTGACAAATGAGTGCTCTCAAGGGCTTCTTTCAGCAATTCAAATACTGTCATGATTTTTATCACATTTCTACTAAGTGAGAGGTGTATGAAGGAGACAAGAAACTACTTGATGGCTCACTTTAAAAACAAAAGAAAACATTAGAGGTGGTGAGGGGGCAGAACAGGGACCAAAACTGGGGAGAATTTCAAATAAGGATAAGAGATTAAGTCCAGATTCAGACAGTGTCAGAACTGCGGACATCTCAAAGATAGCCTAATGATTAGGTCGCCTGCTTCAAGCTTCTTCCTTTACAAATTGGGACTGTGCACTCTGCAGAAGTAGCTGGTCACAAGGGAGCAGGATTTCTAACCTGGGGCTCAGATCTGTCAAGACCAACGTTGTATAACCAGATATTCCCACCAAACCCAGCCTCATCAATCAACAATAAAGAACATTAACGATATTTAACAGAGGCAGTAGCCCCTCACCTTATCTGCGGTATCACTTTCCATGGTTTTGGTTACCTGCATCAACTCTGGTCTGAAAGCAGATGATTCTCCTGATCAGGTCAACAGTGGCCTACCACTACGTCACAATGCCTATATGTCATTCACCTGACTTCATTTCATCACGTAGGCAATTTTATCATCTCACATCATCCCAAGAAGGGTGAATACAGTATAATACGATATTTTGAGAGAGACCATATTCACCTAACTTTTATTATAGTATAGTGTTATAGTTGTTTACTATTAGTAATTGTTAACCTCTTACTGTGCCTAATTTACTAATTTAACTTTATCACAAGTGTGTACATGTAGGAAAAAACCACAGTGTACATAGGGTTCGGTACTATCCCGGTTTCAGGCATCCACTGGGGGTTTTGGAATGTACCCCCCCCCCCAACCACAGACAAGGTGTGTGGGGGGACTACTATTTATTAAGCACCAACTACATGTCAACATTGTTCTAGGTACTGGGGATACAGTAGTGAACACAAGAGAAAAATTTCTAATCTCATGAAGCTTACACATTTGAGTCTTTTATGTTGCCCCGTGTGGGTAGCAGCAGAAGATGGCAGGTGGTCTGACCAGGTACAAATGGAATGAAATATTCCTTAAGTTCTTGGCAATTTTGCTTAAATTCACACTTTTATTGTGAAACAGTTAAATATGGCCAACTCAGAGAAGTCAAAAGCTAGTGGCAGGTGTTTGGCAAGTGACTAGGATAAGGGTGTGTCATGAGTTCAGGGCCAAAAGCAATCAGTCTGGACTGGAGTGATCAGGAAAGGCATCCTGCAAGAAGAGGCCCCTGAGTTGAATTATGGGGGTAGGAAAACCCTACAGGGGATAATAGGAATCCCTAACTAATCATCCTTTTTTTTTTTAACTGTTTATTTTTGAGAGAGAGAGAGAGAGACAGAATCCGAAACAGGCTCCAGGCTCTGAGCTGTCAGCACAGAGCCCAACGCGGGGCTCGAACTTGGGATCGGCGAGATCATGACCTGAGCTGAAGTCAGATGCTCAACTGACTGAGCTACCCAGGCACCCCCCTAACTAATCATCCTTAATGGAAGCTTCCAGAAAGCTTAAAGGCTCTATAGAGCAGTGAGTTCTGACCATCTCCATTCACAGTTGGCTGACCTTGGGCAGGTCATCAGCTCTGGGTTTCTCATATGAAAAATGGGCAATACCCCTGCCTGGCAGGGGCACTGTGTGAAATGTAAATGAGGACTAAAGTGGGAGCTCTGTGAATGGGACACAAATTAAAAATAAATACATACACATGATAATTTTAACATTTATATGGCATTTACTATACATCAGGTACTGTTCTAAAAGCTTCCCTGGAAGGTAGTATAATTATCCACATTTTACAGATGAGGAAACTGGAACAGAAAGGTTAAATGACTAGCCCAAGATCACACATCTGATAAGTAGAGTCAGGATTCAAACCTATGCAGTCTGGTTCTGTGTTCTATATTCTTAGTCACTAGGCAATACTGCCACATTCGTTTATGAAAAAGAAGTGCTCATTAGTATCCAAAAGGTAAGCAGTTGAGGCTCTATTTTCCCAATGAAAAAGCTCAAGTTTTGAGACCATTTTAAGGTAAGAATGAAGGTTGTGGTTTGCAAATACTGATGGAGGCCTGTTCCTTCCCCATTTGGGGAACAACCCCGGGAGCTGTTCCCTACCCATTTGGGGTCAAAAATGTCCAGTCCAAGGGGCACCTGGGAGGCTCAGTCAGTTAAGTGTCTGCCTTTGGCTCAGGTCAGGATCTCATGGTTCGTGAATTCGAGCCCTGAACTGGGATCTCTGCTGTCAGCATGGAGCCTGCTTTGGATCCTCTGTCTCCTCTCTCTGCCCTGCCACTGAGTGTGCATGCTCACTCTTGCTCTCTTTCGCAAAAATAAGTAAACTTAAAAAAAATGTCCAGTCCAAGAAAGAAGAAAGTCTCTCTCGGGGTGATACACAAATGGTCTTTTAGGTCTTGGAGTAAGAAACACCCAGAAGAAACTACCTCAATCAACCATTCCACTTATGGCAGTTGAGGTCTGAAGAGGGGAAGAGGAAGTGCCAGGTCCTCCAGCTGATCAGTGTCAAACTTGAACTGGGACCTGCACCTGCTTCCACAATGTCCTGAGGGCTCCCACCATGCTGCCTGCTTCGATTGCAGGGTATAATTAGAGTCTGACAAAGCTGGAGAGCATGTACTGCCTAGTTCTAGGCTGGCCAGGGTCTGACAACTTGGAAAACAACATTTTTTTTTTTTTTAACTTTTATTTTAGAGAAAAAGAACACAGAAGCCTGAGTGTGAGTGGGGGAGAGGGGCAGAGGGAGAGAGAGAACCCCAAAGCAGGCTCCATGAGCAGCATGGAGCATGAGGTGGGGCTCGATACCACAACCCTGGGATCATGACCTGAGCCGAAATCAAGAGTCAGATGCTCAACCGACTGAGCCACCCAGGTACCCTGGAAAACAATATTCTTTTATTTTCTTTTTTTAATTTTTAATGTTTATTAATTTTTGAGAGAGAGAGAGAGAGAGAGAGAGAGAATCCAAAGCAGGCTCCAGGCTCTGAGCTGTCAGTGCAGAGCCTCATGTAGGGCTCGAACCCACAAACTGCGAGACCATGACCTGAGCCGAAGTTGGACACCTAACCAACTGAGCCACCCAGACACCCCTGGAAAACAATATTCTGAGGACATGCCACTTTCACTTTTTCATTCTTGATGACTTTCATTTTGCTCTATTATGTAGGCATTATTGAGAATTCTCCCCTTTCTAAAAACAAGGCCTAGAATGATAATGTATCCATGCAGGGCTCTCAAGAAGTCCCAAACAAATCAGAGTTGACTAAACGCTGATCGGGGGAGCCCAGCCGGGCCGACCCTGGGCATGGCCTGGGCCACAGACCAGCAGCTACTCTGATCCTTCACAGTACAGTGTATGAGAATGCAAGTACATTCAGACAGACTTGAAATGAAACCTTGGCTCTGTAATGGCAGGCAAATCAATTAAATGTCTAGACTCCATGTTCTCCACTACAAAATGGAGACAACAGGGCTGCCTTATGGAACAAATGAAACAATATGTTTATAAAGCACCAGCCTGTGGCCTGGCATGAAACAAGCGTGTGATAAATGTTAGTCCATCGTAGCTTGGGAAAATTAGTAACTGTACTCTTTGGGATGTTTAAAAAAAAATGCTATAGAAGAGGAGGGAAAAGCTATAGGCCAGAGTATTATCTAGCAAAAAAGCAGAAACAGGGGTGTCTGGCTGGCTCAGTCGGTAGAGCATGTGACTCTTGATCTCTGGGTCATGAGTTTGAGCCCCACACTATGGGTAGAGTTTACTTCAAAAAAAAAAAAAAAGTAGAGGGGCCCCTGGCACTTAAATGGCTCAGTTGGTTGAGCATCCGACTCTTGATTTTGGCTCAGGTCATGATCTCACAGTTTTTGTGGGTTCGAGCCCCACATCTATCTCTGTGCGGATGGTGCAGAGACTGCTTGGGATTCTCTCTCTCCCTCTCTGCCCCTCCTCAACTTGCGTTTTTTTTTCTCTGTCTCTCACAAACAAAATAAATAGAAAACTTTTTTAAAAAGTAGAAACAATATAAATGGGGGATGTCTGATAAACATTGAACTGGTAGTTAAAAAATTTGGTCATGTAAATTATGAAGGAAAAAAGCCAAAAAACAACCTTATGAATAAACATGCAAAAGAGTAAGAGAAGACATACCTGTACAAGGGCTAAAAAAAAGCATGGCACATTAAAAAGTATGATCTGTTAGGGCAGTGGGACTGAGTGAATTTTTACTTTTTTAAACTTTGGAATTCCAACTATAGTGCTGGGACACTGGAAATATTTTAAAAAGGGTAAAAATTAGATCCCATACATGAAGGGGCTTAGTAAACAGTGTCAGGCTGTATTTGGGCTGTTTTCTGGGGGTCTGCCTGTGTGCAGGTCATAGCCAAAGGGAGGGGGTACCTTCTGTGTTCACCACGATGATTCCCTGTACTCCCTTCTGGCTCTGAAGTCGCTTAAGTGTCTCTTCCACCTCTGCCTGCCAGAGAGAACAAGACCAAAGTTAAGAAGGGCCAGTAAGACTGGATTAATTCCCTCACACTCCTGGCAAATGAATCATATATTTGTCTTCCAATAACAAACAACACCCAGGCACTAGGCACCTCCTCAAAGCCCCCAGGCTTGTTCGGAGTGGTCCCTAGGCCATTTCCAGCACTTAAACCCCAGCATGGGGCGGGGCTACTCCAGGCCCTTTGCCTATCAGGCACTATTTTCCCTCCCTGCTTAGCTGTTTGGGAGCAGAATATAAATACCATTCTTGGAGTATAGAGGCATCCATGACTCACATATTTGGTACACCTTAGGAAAGGACTCTGGTGATTTGAAAAAAACCCAAACAGTGGTGTCTTAACAGGAAGGGGACTAAGTTGTCACTTGTGGCCCAAACAGCACAACTGAAAACATTCTAAAGAAGAAAAGTGACTCCATTGAGAAGAAAAGCTAGTAAAAACAAGATACAAAGGGCCAGTCAGATGTCTGTGGCTGGATACTCCCTTTGCATGCTTTTGGCTTCCATGATCTTACTTGCTTTCTGCCTCCACCAACTGCCTGCAGAGCACCACTGATAAGTGCCCCCTCCCCTTTTTCTTTTGTCTCTCAACCTCCTACCATCCCAACCATAAAAGAAGGCTGATGCCAAAGTTCGGGGCTCAGGCTTTGGAGGTGACTCTGCTGGGCTGGCATCAGTGCAAAATAAACAGTCTTTTCTGATTCCCTGAGCGCATGTCGCTTGTCTCTTCCAGGGCACCAAGTATTTGCTCTAACACCATGAGGATAAATTCAGTGACTTAATAAGCTAGCATCTGAGAGTGTAACACATGGCACACAGCCTGGGGAAGGGGCTCATTAATCCTGATTCTCCAGAAACTAGCACATGGCATTTGGGTCCTCACCCTGCCATGCCAGGCTTTCTATATGATCACTCCTATCTCTTTTACCTTTCCTTCAACTCTCCATCTCCATTCCCATACCTATCTCTACATCTTTTTTACCCTAACAAAGAAATCCAACAAATTCTTCTAGGCCATTTAAGACATCACCTCATCCATGAAGCTTTTACTGATCCTCAACTCAGGGGAGTCTGCCCATTTCTGACTCCCCAAGCTCTTGACTAGAAATGCATTAGGTACTGGTTTACTTAGAGTTTCTACAATGCTCTGCAGAGTTAGGTGCTCAATAAACAGCTGCTTAACTGAACTGCGCCTGTTTCTGTGGATGGAAACTGGCCTTCAAGTGTGCTTGTTTTTAGGAGGCTCCTTCCAGACAGGTCCAGAATCCAGTCAGAAGCTACTCAAAGGCTGAGTTGGGACTATGTTGAAAACAGAGGCTCCATCCGCCTAAAAAAAGTGGTTCCCCACCCCCAAGGGCTAATGGGTTGGCCTGAAGAGGAGGAGCTTCTAAACAGTAGATGGACATAGCACAATGAAGTATTGTTTTTCTAGTAGGCATAAGACTGACAATCCAGTCACTACCACCCACTCCCCAATGATATAAGAATACTCAAATGCTGGAGAGAAGGGCAAACAAGTTCTTCCTACAAAATGGCAAATAGCCTGAAGCCTCATAAATCTGGAGCCTGGGTAAAAGGACAGGGCTAGCTCTGTGGATTTGAGTACAATGTAATGGGTCATGCATGTATGAGGTCATAATTCATTCAACAGACTTTCACTGAGCTCCTATTAAGTGCTATTCTGGAGAGGAGGGGTAAAGTGTGATAGTGGTAAATATTACACAGTACTCAACCTGACCTGGTAACTTTCCTGAAATTCATCCTAAGGAAATAACTTAAAGGAAGAATACAACAATACTGCAGTGACACCTTGCAGTAGCAAAAAGTAGAAAGAGCCAAAAATGCCCAATCATTAGGAAAAAAAGCCAAATAAACAATGGAATGTCCATTCATACGAATTTAACACACAAAAATAACAATGGTGATCAGAATATTTATAACACCACAAAAGTATGACATAACATTAAGAGAAAGCAGCTAAAATGCAAAAATAAAGTGCTTGATGATGGCAACCATATGAAAATTAGAGAGTTAGGGGGCGCCTGGGTGGCTCAGTTGGTTAAACGTCTGACTTCGGCTCAAGTTGTCATCTCACCATTCGTGAGTTCAAGCCCCACATTGGGCTCTGTGCTGACAGCTCAGAGCCTGGAGCCTGCTTTGGATTCTGTGTCTCCCTCTCTCTCTCTGCCCCTCCCTAGCTCGTTCTCTTTCTCTCAAAAATAAATAAAAACATCAAAAAAAATCAGAGAGTTAGGACTTTGAAAAAAATAAGAGCCACATTGAGAGCAGGAAATTATAGATAAGGTTTTCTTTCTTCTTTTTTTTTTTCAAAACAGACTCTTTTTCTTCTCATATGTTGTTTCTACTTAAAAACATTATTTAACCCTTCTCCGTGCATCCAAGAAAGAGATCTCTAACATGGAGACCACAGGGCTCTGACATACTCAACATCGACAGCCCAGCCAATCTGCAATCAACCTAGAGAAGGGAAAGAAAGCTAAAATCAAAGATGTCAGAATACAGGTCTGAAATATCCCCTGGAGACTACAAAGTGGGGCTGAAATGAAAAAGATGAATTATTTCATGACTGTTATACTTCAGCCCCACTTCAGGTATATGGGTACCTTCTATGTGCCAGACATTGTTTTAGGTCTGGGGATGCTGTAGTGAACAAAATCTAACAAAAAACCCATGCCTTCATGAAGCTGACATGGAGGGAAGAGCAGACATTAAACAAAGAAATAAGTGAAGTATAAATGTCAGATATAGTAGGGAAGGGGCATCTGGAATGCAAGGACTGATGGCAATTTTAAATAAGTGTCAGCAAAGTCCTCACTAAGGTGATAGTTGAGTAGAGATCTGAAGAAAATGAGGGAGCTAATGTGGATTTCTAGGGAGAGTGTTCCAGGCAATGTGAAGAGCAAATACAAGAGCCCTGAGATAGCATGTTCCAGGGCCCAAAGGAACCAGTGTGGCTGAAGTGCAGTGAGCAGCAGGTGACCAGATGAGAGAGATCAGAGAGGCAGCCATGGTCAGATTAGATTTCAGTGGGCTTGGTAGACCACAGCAATGAATGGTTTTTAATGAGGATGATATGGGGAGCCACTAGCAGGCTCTGACATGAGGAATGACAAGATCTGTTTCAAAAGAATGGCTCCGGTTGCTATGTGGAGAAAAGACTGCAGGGGGCAAGCACGGCCTGTCTGGGCCCTGGCCTGTGCTGCTCTCTCTGAAGGAAGCAACCTTTTCTCCCTGACTCACTGCTTGATGTAACTAACTCCCAGCTCTCTGGACTCAACTCATGAGCCTCCTGCCCCTCTTCTGGGCACCCTTGGCACCCCACCTTCACAGCACTTACCACAATGAGATGTAACTATCTGTGTGCTAAACCCAAAGCACCCCAGGAACAGGGACCTAGACTTTATAATCCCACTATTCAGCACCATAAAGACTCAATAAATACTTAATTAGTAAATAAAAATCACTTCTACAACTACGTTTTACAAAAATCAACCTTTTTAAGTATAGGAGGGGAGACATGGCCTTACAGTACCCAAGGTAAACAAGAGCTAGGGTTTAGGTGGTCCTAAGTTTAATGAGAACCTGCCACTGAGATCTGGCTTCTTAAAAAGTAAACACACCAATTATGCATTGACCTGCTCAGTAGATCAGATACTGGGATAAATGTTTTCAGACACCTCTCTCATCTGAACCATTCGTGGTTACTATGATCTTCATTTTACAATGAGGAAATGGAGATTCAGAAAGAAGAGTTTTGCCCAAAGATCTGTAGCAGGTCAAGAGAAGAGCTGAATATACCACTGACCACAACTGATAAGGTCCTTGCCCTCAGGGAGCTCACATTCTGGCAAAAAGATGTTCAAAAAACAAGTAACCAAGATTACTGCAGGGTAGAGGGACGGGGCTGGGCAGGGTGCAGGAGAATGCTACTTTGGCTAGTACCAGGAACACCTGAGGATGTAATCTTTAAGCCAAGAACTAAATGATGAGAAAGAAGAGCACTCCAGGCAAAGGACTGAAAGCAAAAGCAGTGCAGGGAACAAGTTTGGCATGTTCAAGGAATAAAGAGGACTGGTATTGCCAATGTTTTCCGACTCTTTACTAATCTGATATGTACAAATCATATAACAGAAAGTCAACTTATTTTCATTTTTAAGAATTATCAGTGAAGTTGAAATGAACTTTACTGTTTACATCTCTCCATTTTGAGTCTTCTGATTTTTTCCACATTTCTATTGATTTTCAAAAACTTCGTATGTTAGAAACATTAGACTTTTGTCCATCACATAAATTACACTTCCCTCCCTTTTTCACTTAATCTTCTGATTTTCTTCAATAATCAGAAGTTTAAAAATTTTTACATAGTCAAATTAAATAAAAATAGTTTTCTGTAAGACTAGAGAAAAGCTTTTCCAACTTGACCCCAACCACCAGGATGGGGCTAGGCCTGGATGAGTGGGGACCATGAGGTCTAGAGGGGTCTCCAGGAGACACAGGGCACCAATTACCTACCTGGGTTCAGGAGAAACTGCTTAAAACAAACCACAAGTTCAGCCCTAAAAGAGCGAAGAAGAAAAACAAATGATGCCCCAAAGCCACAAGCAGAAACAGGGACATTTACAGATGGGAAAGGACAGTCCTAGGCAGGCATCCCAGTCATGCCACCTCTAGCTCAAAGTTTGTTGTTTCTGCAGAGCTAGCCAACTGGTATCAGAAATATCTGACTGGATATGCAGTCCCCCAGGGTTGACTTACATCTCCAACTTCCTGTCCTAGAGAGAGCCCAACTGGTATCCTCAGCATCCTGGGTAGTAGGTACTACTAACATGGTGTCTGTATGTTCTTTAGTTCCCAGGTGCATGTTGCTGACAGATGGAAAAACAAATAGCAGTAAAACTCCAGGATTACTTGTTAGTTCAGCCTGGTAGCAATAACTATCTGAAGCAAATAGTTAACAAAGAAACCGTGACCAATCTGACTACTAAGCATAAACATTTTAATTTGTATAAAACAAAAATGAATCAAAAGGACAGAAAAACATGTGCATCTGATATAACAAAAGAGTAATTCCAAAATATCATACAAAATGACTAAGAAAAATAGAAAGTCTAGCGCCTGGATGGCTCGGTCAGTTGAGCGTCGACTCAATCTTGGCTCAGGTCATGGTCTCATGGTTCATGAGATTGAGCTCTGTGTAGGGCTCTGCACTATCTGCTTGGGATTCCCTCTCTCGCTCTTTCTTTGCCCCTCCCCTGCTCATGCGCTCTCTCTCTCTCACAGTAAATAAATAAGCTTAAACAAAAAAAATCTAAAAGTTAAGTGGGCACTTGTGATGAGCACTGGGTGTTGTAAAAGTTAAGTGGGCCAAAAGGATACTAGTAAAAAATACACCTAAGAGAAAATACAACCATACAGAAAAATGTTCACTGTTTCCTATAAATAAAAAAATGAAAAATTATAGCAATGCTGAAGTATCTTTTTAAATGCTGGCAGTTATGGCAAACCTGGTACAAAGGCAATCTGACCTTTTGGTAAAGCCACAGAACAACACTACTGCAAGACCCATAAGTGTGTTGGTCCAGTGGCCTCAGAAATTCTTTTCCTGAGAATTTCTCCTAAGGAAATAATCTAAATTTTTCAAAAAGAAAAACAGGGGCACCTGGGTGACTCAGTCATTTAAGTGTCTGACTCTTGATTTCGGCTCAGGTCCCCATCCCAGGGTTGTGGGATCAAGCCATCCATCTGGCTCCATGTTGGAATGTGGAGTCTGCTTAAGATTCTCTCTTCCCCTCTGCCCCTCCCCTGCCTTGTGCTCTCTAACATAACATAACATAACATAACATAACATAACATAACATAACATAACATAACATAA